GCTTAGGGAGCCCCCTTTCTGTATAGGTGAGTCAAATATTATATATAAAATCTCATTTTTAAAATAAATCTGTTAAACCATTTTTCTTCTTTGAGATTAAAGTTCTTCAGCTAGTTCCCTGATTTTCTACTGTCTTTTCCTATCTACAACCTATTCACATCTCATGTACCTATTCATGATCTATTGGTTTAGGCTATTAGGATTGTCTAATAGTGCATATATATATATATATATATATATACATAATATTTATAAATAGTGTATAATAGTGCATATATATAGATATAGATATAATCTTCATTAAAATCCTGCACTTTACTCTTACTGAATGTATTTCCATATCTCCTTTCATAAAGTTACATATGTGCAAGCACTTCTCTGGTATCTTGGCCTTACTTTCCTTTGTAACTCCTGTAATTCATGATACTAAACCTGCTACATGACACACATTCAATAAATATTTGTTAAATGAGTTCTTTTATTGTAAAAATCCACTTTTTTCAAAAGATTCTATGGCTTAACACAAAGTGATAAATAGAGCAATGTGGAGCTAAAATTTGCATTATTACTTTTCTCTCTGAAGGTTTTAAGAAGGCTTTTATAGAACAACTATAATTCAAGAGACAGCACAGGCCTAGCTGTATTATTTCTGACAATTTTGATTTGAGCTGCTTTTTAAAAAGTAATTTGTGTTCCAACTATTCTGAGATTCCAGAGATACAATTGCTCATAGGTAGTATCATATGCTATTTAAATAAGTAAGAGTTATCTTGCTTTGGCATTTAATACCAAATCCAAATCAAATGTTTATCTGTTTGAATTTGTTCCTCAGAAAGAAAATGTTGAGAAATTTGACATGTAGCAGAAGAAAATTAAATCCATTCTTTAAAATGTTAACCAACGACCCTGAACCACTCAGATATGCTCAAGAAAAAAGCACTGAGCATATGGAGGAGACTAGAATAAAAGGAACAATTTGGTTTGCTGAATACATGGCTAAAATAGATTATTTACCTCTCTCCCACTCCTACTCCATTTCATTTCATTGCCATTTTATTTCTGTGGGAATTTTCTAGGCAGTTCAGGAAAATGTAAATTACTTGCAAACTCCGAGCTGAAGTTGCATCTTTGCCAATACCACTTGAAAGAGCAAGAGGGATTTTCCCCGAGTCTTTTTCACTTCCTATATCCAACAGTACAACCTGTCCTGTGCTCTTTACGGGCTAGAGCTCCTTAAAGACCCATTGCTCTCCTCCTCACCCAGAAGACGCTTTAAGGAAAATATTTCTCAGACTTCATTAAACACCTGGATATTTGAATTTCTTTTGTGGCATCAAAGTGGCTCCTTTAATTTATGAATATTTTCAGGAAGCTTTAACTGAGTAATAACCTCTTCAAGTAAGTATTAATAATCAGTATTCAGTGCAGTATGAAGTTTGAGTTTTTGGTAGTGAAAGAGGAGCCTTGTGAGAAGGAAATGTGTAGCAGCACCAACTTTGTACTCTTCTAGTTTAGCATTCCGGGAAGGACCATAGCTACCAGAGAGATGCTATCTGAGAGCAGATTCCACGATGCTATTTTAGTAACTCTATTCAAGAATTCTTTAAAGGTATGCATGTTTTCTGAGTGTGTAAAAGGGATTGTAGTGTATTACAAGAGGACAACTAGAATTGAGGCCATCTTTTTTAGATGGATTTATGCAACATCCTAAATATTTTCCTCAATACTAGTCCATGGCAGACTTAACAATGTTGCCAGGGGCTTCTTTCTTATAATGCAAATATAATCATCATCTTTCTTCATAGAATTCTTCTGTGGAACGTCTATGTTCTCCTGGAGCATTTCAAATATTTTCTCTTATCTTTCAGTTTTTATCACTTGGCCCCTTTTTTGTGCTCTCACATTTGATATGTTTCATAGATCTCATTATATGTTGTGTGGAAAACTAAATACCTCTATATTTTCTCAATACATTGGAAAGTGCTTGAAAATAAGAGATGCATCTCATCTTTAGGTTCCTGTCCACCAGTCTATAGATTACATAGCAAGGATTCAGGAAATGTATACCAGACTAGCAAATGACTAGGATAAGCCAGAATATCTCATCATAGGTCCTATTCTGGCTAAAAGAGGATCTATGCATTATTAGGTAAAATAAACCAAATACATAACATTTCTTATATAAATGCTAAACATTATATAATGCATATATATTTTATTATAATTTATCATTTATATTGAAAAATAATTCAAAAGAGACTATAAAGGGCTCAGCTATTTGAGAGTTTGCCATGTGGAAGAGCTTTTTATATTTTGCCAAATCAGTATTTTCCTACCTATGTCATAAGAAAATTCTCTTAACTTTTTATTCTGTTTCTCTGAAATATAGTTCTGGTACAGGTGCTGTCATTAATTTAATCAAGACAGTGAACATAAATTGAAAGAAGTACTTTTTTAGGTAGAGTAGAAAGGGAAATTCATCAAATAATATTATGTGTGGCATTGAAGAAAGAAGGCATCCAAATGAGAAATTTTCCTCATGTGTGTATGCATGTAGATGACTAGAAGTATTGTAGAATAAGTTTGAGGCTTGTAAGGAAGCATGTTATGCGATTTCACCAGTAAGTACATTGAATTATGGCTTATATTTGTATTTCATGGAATCTCAAACAATTGGATAGACCTTTGGATTCATCTACTGAGAGTAAATTTTCATTGGTGATTCTCAGGAAACTAGGGTTTCTAATTAAATACAAATCCTGGGGAAAAGAGAGGAGAAAAGAAAACCTTATGAACCAAGTCATTGCCCTAACTGAACCACAGTTTAAACCAGTGTATGAGCTAGAAGGTTATGAAAGAGCTGTGTCCTGAAAATCACTCCGGCATGTTCAATTTGTGTTCTCTTTGCTTTTTGCAGAATTTTCTGTTTCTCACATGCACTGACCCTTTTAGTCTGCACCCTTTTTCCTTGTTTTCTCTTCATAAGTAATTCTTCCTTCAGCTTTTCAGGCAATCTACGCCCTCTCATCATTGCATCTCAGCTTAAGTGCTGTCTCCTCAGACAAGAAGCACTCCTGATCTCCTTAGACAGAGGAGTGTCTCTGAGCTACCGTCTGTGTTGTCCCAAATTTCCTTTTCACTCCTCTAGGGTAACATTTTGTAGTTGGCAGGAACCTGGACCTTTTTCTAGGATGAATAGCTGTATGTCCAACTTGTTAGAGTCAGAAACCCTGAACCAGGGCCAACATTTTGCATAAGGAAACCCACGTTACCATTTCAGAATCTGTGTAGAGGCTATGGTTTGAGGGAAATTTTAAAAAGGAATGCAGGTAGGATGGAAACATCTGCTTCACGATGAAAGCCTGAATCTACAGTCAGATTTATTTTATGCAGAAGCACAAAATTTTGAAAAAAGAGGAAAATGTGAAAGTATCACTAAAATAATTATTACAATGTTTTTCCAATACTTTCCTCTAATGTGAGATGACTTGTATTAAAACAAGCTAATGAATGAAGATAACATAGTGTTTGATTAGCAATCTCAATATCACCTTATACACTTGCATGACCCGTTCAGGAAATAATTTTAAAGTAGCTTAGTATGTTTGGAGTTAAAAGCTAGACAGTACAGAAACATTCACTTCTTTATTAAAAAAAAAATTCAGTATGGGCCAAAGTTGTCTTGCGTCTTAGTGATGCTGAATCATAGTCTTTACGCTCCTGAAACTTTAAATCAGGAACAATTAGAAGAAAAGTTCCCAACCCTGAAGCCAGTTCATTAGGCAGACAAGGTGGATAAATGTAAGGCTGCAGGAAAATAAAGGGAATATTTCTGAGTATATAATATGTGCATGAATAATGGAGGATTTAAACACAGAAAAACATTTCAAAGGGTTGAGAAAAAAAGCCAAGGTTTCATGCCGGGTTACCTGGTGAGTGACATTCGCCTTGACAGAGAAGCTCAAACTTGGGGGAATCCAAGATATCATCTAAGGGGAGATAGAGATGCTTGATTCAATCATCCCGAGTTTGTGCAATTCATGAAAGTCTAGTGGAAATAAGGCATGAGATGAACATTTAAACAGGCCAGGATCCAAGGAGGTTTGGAGTTGAACATGTAAATTTAAAAATTTAATATTAAATAGGGTGTCATTGTAGCTGTCATTTGCCAGGAGAATAACAAAGCTTGCCATTGGAATTATCACCACGGAATTCATTTTGCAATGCTGAGTCTATGGGGGAGGGTAAGAGACCGCAAGCTGAATGGCCAGGGAAAGCTGGATTGGGTGAAGAGCAAATGCGCTCCAGTGCACAGGAAATCTGAGATGCTGACGCGAATAAGCCCGTGCCTATGTCCCAGTATCCAGAGAATCGCTGCTAAGGGCGAGTCGGTCAGGGAAGGAGGACAGATTGCATTGGCGGAAAGGGAAAAATGAAAAGAACCGTACTAAGGAATGATCTATTGACCTTTCTAACCCCCGTGGCAGAACGCCCAGTCATCAGGTTAAATCAAGCAACGGAGCAGAGGAAAGCAGAGCGTGCTGGAGTCGAGTGGCCGCGGCGTACTGTAAATAAAAGACCTCGAGAGGGTCTTCTACCCCACCCTGCGCGTAAATCATACGCTCGGAAGTTTTGTATTAGAGAGCCCAGCAGGGGAGGAAATTTTCTGCAAGTAAAGAAAGTAGAACTAGGGCAGTCGGAGGAGATTGAAAGGGCAAAACTATCAAGCAAGAACACTGTAAATTCTGATTAGTTTTATGACTTTGCTTTCATGCCTCAGGAGCTCAATTGATCAACTGCTTTCAAGACAAGCTAAGCAGGTGGGGTGTGTGTTGGGGGGGTGAGGCTTAAAAACATTCTCAAAACTCTCTTCCAGCTTCGTGCTTTCAGATGCAAATACTTCGCGGAGAGATGGATGGGCCTCAGCCCCTCCTACTTTCAACCCGCTTCTTTATTTTCCTGCGAAGGAATCCATCTGTACAGATCTGTTGGGAGGGAGGTGGAGGAGGGTGCGTGTGTGTGCGCGCGTGTCTGTGTGCGCGCGTCGGCCGACTGCTCCCTCTTTGCGTTCTTTGCCAATAGCCGTCACTGGGTCTTCAGGAGGTACTGAAGTCTCAGTAGCTTCCCGAGCTGGCCTCGGACTGCGCCCACAGCCGGCACCCACTGCGGTCGAGCATCCTCCTCCGCCTCCGCGCCTCCTCTGGCCGGCCCCAGCGCTTTCTCCTCCTCTCCCGCTCTCGCCCTCTCGCCCTTTGGCGGGACGCGCGCTCCCGTTAGCTCCGGACCTAGTGTCTGAGCGGCTGGGGCGATCTGTGAGACAACGGGACCCGGCGCCTGAGGCCCGGGCGGGGTCTCCGCGCCCTGTGATTGGAGGAAGAGTCGCTGTTCTCCCGGCCGGAGCAAAAGGGTGCCAAAAGGGTGCCTTCAGTCCGCCCCGCGCGCGGAGCGGCGCGCACAGTGTCCCGAGGCGCCTACGGCGCCTGACTACAGAGCACGCGTCCTTTCGGATGCAAACGCCTGGGTTCCTGGCGCCTGACGCCACCGGGAGGGCAGCGGGGCCCCAGGTGAGTGTGTCTGCTTGCTAGAGGCTGGGGAAGGCGCCACTGGGCAGAAGTGCGCCCTTGCAGAGTGCATTTGGAAGCAGGACTAATCAGTGAGCAGAAAGCGGGCGGGGGTATCCGTGTGGAGTTTCCTTGGGAGCTCCCAAGTTACTGTGTTTTGCGGTGAGACGTGGCTCTGCGAGGCAGGACAGGGGTGCGGATGGAGCTGCGGGCACTTGGCCCGGATAACGGTGTTGACAGACGCCAGGTGCGACGCGAGAAGTAGTTCGGGGTGAGAGCATATCCCAGCACTCTTCAGATGCATCGGTAAACAGTCTACAACGCTCTCCTCAAAGAGGAACGCGGCGGGCTCCTCTTTTGACCTTAGACTGATGGAGACACAACTCCGTGCAGCCTGTGCCGCCGGGTTCTGCAGAGGAGTGAGGCTGGACAGGGGTGTATGCCTGTGTGTGCAGCAGTGCTTTGAACCATCTGGCCTTTCGTGAAGGTGGAACTCACCTAAGGTTGCTTTGCTTTTTCCTATAATTAGTATTCTGCTGATACAGTGCATCCGCAGGGTTTGCCTCAGCTCCTTGTCCTCCTTCCCCTCCTCCCGGCTGTGCCTTAGGTGTGAGCTGGGGAAGGGTGCCCTGTTTCTCCGAATGCCTAGCGGACTTCTCCGTGAGCGCACAGGGTACAAGGCTAGTTGCTGGTGTTCAACCTTCCCGCGTGGATTAATGCCAAAGACCTTTGTTCTGTGTGCCTTCAAGCTTTAGATCCTTAACCCTACGGATTTCTTAGATGTCATAGTTCAGGTGAGTAAAGATCACCTATGAGTTCACCTAGCACTAGCAAAGGGCGAATTGTTGAGAAACCACAAGGACCGTGCTTCAGGACTTCAGGGATGCATGCATTGAACCATGAGTATTCTTAAAACATCTTTTACTTTGCAAAGAAAAATTGTTTGTTAGATTATGTACAAGAAAATTGTCTGTGAGATTTACCCTTCATAATTTCTATTACACGAAATGTGTCAGATCATTTTTATGGCAAAGTAACCCATAGATTTTATACAAAAGAAAAGATTTAATATCGATTTTTGGCCTTTGCTAAGTATTAATATGTAGTTTAAAATCAGATTGATAGCACAAAATTCATATTTTGAAAGGGTTTTAAAGCAATTGTAGGCTTGTAAAACAGAAAATATGCACAGATACACTTCCAACAACAGCAAAATAGTTTTGAGTCTTTATAATTTTAGGGCAAGTTGTGAGGGGGAAAGAGCATAGGGAAAAAGTACTACTTGAAGCTTTCAGGAACTCACCTCAAATTCATTCTTTTCTAAGGAAGAGTGAGGCTTTGTCTCAAACCAAGTTCATCTTATTACTCTATGCAAAGGAGAAATTCATTGATAAACCTTTCACTTTGTAAAGCTGTTTGGGAAAGTATGAATGAAGATGCAAAAGCACTGAAGCAGGGAGTCAAAGTGGCAACCTGGTGGTAGTCTTGCTTATAAATTAGTGTGGTGGCAGCAATTAGGCAGCATCTCTGTGTTAATAGTCTTATCCAGTAAAGCTTGCTGAAAGTCTGTCTATGGAAAAAATATAGAAAATAGCCATCGGCAATACAGCCCATCACTCCCATAAACGCTTTTAAGGTTTGCAGGTTTTATAAGTGGCATTGTGCTCTCACAACATGAGGTATTGTAATCAAGGGCTGCAATAGGCCATTAGGATTGTGTTAACAATCAGTTGACAGACTTACAACTCTTCATAAGTCTACTTTTATTGATTTAATAGCACAGAGAGCTTTTCACTTTCTTATATTTGTAAAGCATCTATATTACTGCAATCCACCCTTGAATTGACTCTGAATTTTACTGTCCAGTGCAGAAGAGCAGGTGGAGAGCACATTCCCTTGGCCGCTGTTCAACCTTCCATGGTCCAAAAATCAAACCACTGTCTCCACTCAGGCGTGATTTGTTTGCCAGTCTTCCTATTATTCAGCATTTTTAAAATGGTAAAGCTGATATAAACTGCTCAGAATGTGTTCAGATATTGAAGACGTGAATGTATCTTTGTGTTGAGTCAAAGACTTTGTCAAACCTTTCAGACATTCTTTAAAAAGTACTGGGCTCATAAATTGCTTTATATTGTGAATATTTACTGTGAATATTTACTGCTGAATGATTCATATCTTCCTGGATTGTATAAGGTTTTACATCTATTGCTTTAACAGCATGTATCACATCATGGTTCTCTCACAGGAAAAAAAAAATCATTTGATTGGAAGGCTTCAAAGACTTAGCTTAAATTAGGAGTTTCAGAAACTTCTAAAATAGCTAACATGCATTAGTTAATTGCAAAGGGACTGTAGTGAAAGCTGTTCTTCCTTCAATGAAGGAATTGGCTGATCCTTGATGGGGTGATAAAGGGGAACTGAGGACAAGGAAAGAAGACATGTGATCAGAGTCCTGTGTATGACACAGCCTGTGACAAGCCGAGCAGATCTAGCTGTAACCTGCAATACAAGAGTGCCTCCTCTGGGAATTTGCTGGTTCTGCAGAAAGATACCCCTGCAAACACTTCTGCCTTGGCATTCTGCAAGTCTCCTCACTGGTAAAATTACCACCACAAATGAGTATGCAGACTTCTGTCCATACAATTATTTCATATTGTAATATATATTTTCATCCTGAAAGAGTTTGTTTTCTGCTCTTCTGTGTAATGTTTATTGAAACATGATGCCTTTTATTGAAGTCACATAAATCACACCTGGCACAAGGTAAATACAAGGGCAAATGACAATTTAACATGGATACAGCCAAGATCACTTATTTTTTTAAAAAAGGCCAAGGAAAATGAACTTAAAGCATCGTTTTACCACTTTGTTATTGCATAAATTATTGAGGCCTGAGCTTTATTATTTTATTTACTTTTTAACTTGTGTCGGTTTCTTATAGTTAATTACAAACCATTGTTCCTCTCTGCTTCAGTACTTTCACTCCTGGCGGTAGTTGCTTGTGCTTAGCTGAAACTGACACTGCAATTCACTTTAAGAAGTTTTCTTTCTGTGTTTGATAGCCAGATGCACACTATAGCCAGTGTGATTCATTTCCAGAGCCCTTGCCTGCATATTTAAGCCAGTTAATTGTAGGAGGTTGTGGTCTGTGGTTGGAATGTTATGTGGCCCAGGGAACTAATTGATTTGGACACAGTTTCTTTATGTGAGAAATCTCATGTCATAAAGTCCCAAGCCTCACTAATTAAAAATGTAAACATTTATAATTTCAAGTGCAAAATGGAAAGCTCTTTTATTAGCATTAAAATAATTGAGTATAATGATATAAATTTTAAATTGCATATAGTTACATCAGATTAAATAGTACTGCTTTGATCTACTAGAAGCTGAAGAGAGTAGAATTAAATCTAGAACGATGATAAGGTGAAGACCAGAAGTCTGCCACCTCAAAAATTAGAACATAAAGTCCCTACCAAAAGGATACGTTGCTACCATAGTTATTTTGCCAAACAAAATGGATTTCTGTATATCTATATCTATATAATTTTTAGATAATTTCTTGAAGTGATGATGCCATTTCTAAAACATCCACTGGATCTGATGGTTAAATTTCAGCTAAGTTCTTAACATCATAATGTAATCAGAGGTTAGTTTTTCATTATCATTTATGGAGAAGTGGGGAAGCATACTGCTCATTTTCTTTCTTTTTTTTGTTACAGAAAGATATATATTTATTCTTCCTCTGTCCTAACTTTCCACTTGACTAGTAGTCATAATGATCTCCTACCTGAAAATTAAAACTCTTCATCATATAATATTTGAGTATGGTCCAATCTACTTTTTTGGCTTTTTGGAAAGATGATAAATTTCAAAGATCACACCTTAACAAAGATTCCTGATCAAATAAACAATTTTTAACCAATATTTATTGCATCAAATTATTCTCAATGCAGTCAGCTATGTGATGTTGGGCCTTTTAATAAGATATTACGGATTTCAATTTCATTTGGTAGCAAAGAAAGAAGGGACAGGATTAGATATTTATAAAGTCTGATTCAGTTCAAATATGCTATCCATCCATTGTTCCACCACCTCAGAATCTTCAAACATAAGAAGCAGCAGAACTGAGGAGTTCTTTATGCTTCTTCTGTGAACCCTCATGAGAAACAGACCATTTCATTCTTCAATATTGTATAACATTATCTTTAACTGTCTTACATACACTGCCCTTATTAGCTTGGCTTGTAATGTCATGGTTCCAAATCAAGTGAGGCTGAAACATTTTGAGAGCTCTTAAAGGCTTCTCGATCTTGTTTACTTTTCTGTAGTGTTGAATTTTGACATCTGCTCAGTCGTGGATGGAAGAACATTACAATATATCTCGTTTCCCTTCCGCATTTCCAAAAATGCATTGAATAATTCTACTTTAAAAATAAGTAAAAGCAACTATGAATAAGTAATATCCATTACACAAAGCTGATTACTCTAACTTGTGAACAGAAATCACAAGCAAGGCCACATGGTCACAGGTAGCTACCATCCTGGGGTAGAAGGATGTATCCAAGAAGAAATTGGGTGAATCAGAAGACAATGTCTTCACTTAATTTAAATAAAGCCACTAAACACTTAAAGTATATCCAGAAAAGAACAGATGTTTTCCCAAACTACACCAAAAACTAGTAAGTGAAAGATAGTTTCTAAAGCAATTGCATTTTTGCACAGTGTCCTCTAACCCCTGCTGTGGCATGGTTTCTACTTTTACAACTGTACATTGTTTGCTTTCATTAAGATCCATTAAAAGTATTCTGCTTTTAAAAGTGCAATTCAACTTTAAAACAGTCTTGGACATAATAGTTTTTTTTTTTTCCCCAACAGCTAATGATAAGATTTTTTCCCTCATTTTTTGTTTTTATTATAACCATGATTTCTTTTGTACCACTATATTTTATAGATGGTGAACAAAATAGCTCAGGAAATATCAGTTAGACTCTGGAAATATTTAA